AACTGCGAATTATTTTCATCCAATTGATATGTAGCGTCCCGTAACCTCACTTTTACCTGTGCACTGACTTTCAAAACCAGATGTAATGCCATATTCATACTCGAATCGGTTGAAAAATACACTTATCTTCTAGTTTACTCACTCTACCCATTGCAAGCAATATTTTGATAATTGTTTATGTTTTGAGAGTTGGTGCACAGGTAGATTGAGGTTAACGGCACTCATTATGAAATAAAAATTTGAGTTCATTAACATAACTTTGTTTTATTCCAATACTAAACTGTGCTTATACTTTCTGGGAAACCCTATATTCCATAATTATGACGGGTAGTGTATATGCAGATTAACAATCGCTTGGAGTGTTATCACAATTCTTTTGTGAAGTGTTCTTCCAGAAACTTCCGGAAAGTTAGTAAAATTGTGTCTTGCTTAATCTTCTTTATTTAAAATTGCAGTTACACCAAAGAGGTAACTCTAAGACTAGTAGGTCCCGAAGAAACGTGCTCAACTTTTTGGCTCAGCTCTGGTACTCTCTTCGGTCTAATAGCTAATAGATTCACCCCTCGAAACATAGGAAAAACCAATAACCCCTCATTTTATCCGTCAAACTTTCATAGCGAATCAAAACAAACATAGTGTAGTACTAGAATTACGACTAGAATGAGGTACGTTAATCGATTTGCTTGGGACCAATAGGCTAGTCAAGTAGTGAGCCAATTTAAAATCGTTAGTTTCGTATTGATTGTTGGTTACACTTCGAACGAATAAAAACCATTTGGTTCCTCGCAGTCAATGGTTGCTTTGATACTTTGAATTTTGCGATCTAACATCTCCTATACAGTAGGACTGGAATGTAGATGGCAACCGAATTCGTCGTCATTCTTGAACAGGAGTTGGAACTGGAACTGGATCTAGACTGGTACGTCTAGGTCAAATTCGTCGAAGAATAATGATAATGGGTTTGAACCAGGAACAGGAACATTGTGGCGGCCTCCCACTGCCGAACGAAAACCTCGATCTCGACGAAACTGCGAACGATTGACTTAATGCGGACCATGACAGGATATGCACGATGAAACTGCTTCTAGATTTGCTTTTGGAACTTGCTCGGAACGACAACTCGTACGACTTGGGTAAGCGACTGTCGTCTGTTGAAGTAAGGACGAACATTCGGGTTGGTTATGGAGCGTACATCGCTTGGCCAACCGTCACGGATGACTGATTGTAGCACTTTGTCCGTCTTTGTTGTTACGACTTTGATAGCTTCAACATGTCTTCTTCCAGGGAAATTGCAGGTACGATGTAATCTTCTTCCGGTCGAATGGAACGATCGATCAGTCTAGACAGCATGTCGGCACAGCCAAACTCGTTGGTGGATACATGGTGGATGTAAAAGTCGTAGTTTAGTAGCATCAGCGCCCATACGAATACTTGGATCCAAAGATTGATAAAAGAGGCTTGTGATCCGTGAGAACGGGTGAAACGACGTCCAAGCAGATACTTGTAGAATCTCGTAGGTTAGATCAAGCGCTTCCTTTTCTGGCTGACCGTAACCTGGCTCGGCTTGAGTGAGAGATCTTGAAGGGTGCTGGATTGCCTTCATGCATCCGTTCGGAAATTGGTGGAATATCACTGTCCCGATGCCTGTGCTGGAAGCATCTGCTGCTACGGTGATTGGCAATTTTGGATCGTAGTGCATTAGCAACAAGTCGGACTTTGCTTGAATTGTTCGAAAGACCGCTGGCAATCGGAATTCCACTGCAACTTCGATTTTTTCTTTAGTAGCTTTTCGAGAGGATGGAGAAGCTCATGTATGTTCGGCACGAATCTGCCGTCAAAGTGAACGATCTCAGCTCGGAAACGTTGTTCGGTTGTGGAATGGAAGCGATGGATTGTAGCTTCTAAACATTCAGCTTCCATTCCTCCGGGGTAGGTAGAGGATAGTGGTTGGCTTCGAGCACGTCCATTCGGCATGCGTACTGTACTGCAACAATCGGTGCGGCTCACTCCGAGAAGTCAACCGGCGTAATGATTCCGAGTGACTGGAGACGCGTTAGCTCAGCATCCACCAGTGGAATAGTGTTGAACGCAACTGGTCGCTTCGAAAAGAAAACAGGTTTGGCGTTAGGTTTAACAAATTGCTTCGCCTTATAAGGTTTTGCGCCGGCGGGGTTAACCGCAATCGCATGACAGATCAGTGGTACTGTTTACGTGAACTTAGTCGGTTTTTTGGACAGATTTTCTCGATAATTTTTCAGACTATAGTGAGATGTTAACCACACTTCTGCAATGTCCACGAGCAACATCCTTTCAACGCGCTGTTCCTCGACAATTTTCAAGTTGAAACACACAAACACACAAACACAAATACACTAAATCTGCCTACGTGAATATACGGTCAATTTCACCAAATTTGTAGTGGACGACGTGTAATTCAGGTCAAAATTACTAACGTCGGGTTATATTTGAGATTTTCTTAATACAGATCAGCAATAACTGATGTGCTCTTTTCTGTTGTTGGTCGTGATTTGCTCGATTGGTTCCGCTATTTGACCCTTTTCTCGTGACCAGTGTTGGAAAAGTTCGCGATATTTAACGAAGTTCACCATGGGAAAAGTTTGCGAGTCACAGTGAGTTATCGCGAACTTTTCCATCACTGCTCGTGACTCAAGGCTCGCCTACGCAAGCTGACACCATCTTTGGGATAGGGAAAATTTCCCCTATACGACGATGCCGGTAATTTGCGTTCGATTGGCGAGGAATTTTTTTTTTTTTTTATTATGGTCACTTTAACGCTCTTGGGTCATTCGTGACTTGTCCGGAGGTGAGATTTGATCTCGTGACTTTGGCGTGAGAGGTATGGATGTTAACCACTACGCCGGGGTCGCCCCCATTGGCGAGGAAAGAATAAGGGTCTGTTCATAAACTACGTAGACATTTTAGGGGGAGGGGGGGGTTGGCAATTGTGCACGGTCCATACAAATTTTAAAAATTTTGTATGGAAAATTGTCTACGCAGGGGGAGGGGGGGGGGTCAAGAATCCAAAAAAAAACTGTCTACGTAGTTAATGAACAGCCCCTAATCAACGTTCTGTTTATAATATTGATAGTACCTTTTCAATTGTTGGTCTAAAATATATTGAATTGGTTCCGCTAGTTGATAGATCGAAATTCTATCCGCCAGACTATGAATATAGCGACTATAATCAAGATTGGGTCTGCTTGCTTTCTGACAGACGTCAGTTTGCTCGTTTGTTTTTAAAACTATAGTTATAAAACTATAACCCAGGTTGAGCAGACACGTTGAACGTCTCTAAGGTTGAGGTTCGCACTGACAAAAAGTTTGGTTTCGCACTGGGTTGGAACAGATACGTTGATACGTTGATAGAGACGCGCAAAGAAAATTTCTGTCAAAACAGCAGCATGGTTTTTGAGGGACCTTTTGACAATAGGTCGTATGAATAAAAGCGTTTACTTTACTTTCCCCGTAAGAAAAGCACGGGAAAGTAAAGTAAACTCTTTTTATTCATACGGCCCAATGTCATTGGCAACCATGTTTCGTCGAGTGACTTCAAATGACTTTCATACAGTGCCGCAATGCTGCTGAGAATTCGCTATTAGTTTTTTTTTGCAGTGTACTATGTAGCGAGTCACCGAAAACCGCAGGATGGTCGTCTTTAAGTTGCTGGATTTTTCCGGTTGAAACATGGCTTGGATTCTGTTGCGACTTGTCTGCAGATAGAATCAATTTGAATCGACCCACCGAGGCCACGCTTGACTACACCGTTGATGATGACTTCACATTGGAATTCGCCGATGATAGTAAGTGGTTCAACTGATGCATTGGACGCTTCGATCGACGATGGAGTCAGCTTCGGTCGTCCCAGTTGTTGCCTGGTAGCCTTGGAAATTACCGTGATTTCGCTTGCGGAATCCAGTTGAAAAGAAGCAGCGACGCCGTTGATGATGCAGGTCACGTACTTAAGCTTTTTGGTGTTGTTTGGAATGTGATTCACAACGAAAATCTCCTTAACTTGAGTTCTGGTAACAAGCTTCTTCTTCTGGAACTGCTTATTTTCTTGAGATGGACTGGAAAAGTTGCTTGAAGACTTCTTGGCGCAACCACAATAGCCTTCTTTGTGGCCAATACGATCACCCAATTTGCAATGGTGATCAGAGAACGGACAATCACGAACGTAGTGCATCTGACCACACTACCAGCAAGGAGTTCCGCATTCGTTGGACGTTGTTGATTTCCAAGTTGCTTCTCCGAGACGCTGTGACTGAATTTTTCGAACTTGACGGCTGCTGGATCATCGTGGTGTCCGACTTAAGGTTGACGACTCGTTGGTGCTTCTGCTGTTTCGCCCTCGATGCGAAAAAAGTCCGCGTGCCTTGACAATTTTACACTTATTAAAAATATGTTGTTACTGAATTAAAAGGCGTATTTGCACTTCCCTCATGCCCCAAACGCCCATAGATTTTATTTCAATGGAATTAATGACGTGGAAAAATTGCTGAGTAGAAACTCTTTAAATTCGCCCTTTTGACTTTGTTGCTCTTGGCGGGGACCGTTTTCACCACCCCCTCACTACGCCACTGCTTACGGATGATACCCCGAGCACATCGTTAAGCACTTTTTAGTGTTTTTATCAGGGTAAGAACAGTGAACTATTATCCGATGACAATCACAATGAAATCGAAGCTAACTTTTACTCATTCATATGGAAAAATTTCTAAAAGCGAAGGTCACTCAGCGCACGAGAAACCTACGCTTTAGGAAATATATCCATACAAATGAGTAAAATTGATTCACTCTCTAAGTAAGATTCGCTTTCAGTGTAGGCCGAAGACGACACATCAAGAAGCCTGGCATCACAGCCACGCATACCTTTCTTTTGCGGTTGACATCTTCGCTGCATCTGGAACTTTCACCTTCGAGCGATAGATGGCGCGATTACTAACATGGACGGTTCGGATCAATGAAAACCTCGGCAAACGCTAACTTCACTAAGTTATATTTCTGCTCAAAGTTTCGTCGTTCGCATTTATAGTACATTTTTGGAATGTGCCCCTTCTCTCTGTAGACTGTCCTACCCGACTAACTATTTAGACTTTGCCCGAAGCAAAATGTCGTTAGAAATATGTAAAAAATTATTCAATTTTGTTTTTTTCCTTCATGCCGCTCAAGCGGATTCATAGTCACTTAACAATTCTAAATTCTATTCAAATGTACAGAATGGAATAACCCTCATGACGATTTCGGAGTTTGCCCGTCGTCATGTCAGGTCTTACTAGGCGCTATAGATAAAACTAGACTTTTGAGTAAATTAACATTTTAAAACAATAAATATTCCGGAACAAAAGTATGTCTCATTTCCTCTCGGGACTGTTTAAAAGAAACTCTCAAAAGGTTTTGAGGAAATAGGCTATAAATAAGACTTTCTCATTCGACTATCTATCTATCCCACTTTGAACAAGCTGTTAGGTAGATGTGTAAGTTTGTGATGGCATCCATGTTTTTACAAATTCTAACAACTTACGATTAAAATTAAGTATACTTATTCCCACGAATAAAAACTAAAGTAGTATCTCTGTACACGAATTAAAAAAAAGTTTATCCGTAACTGACAGTCGCAGGTAATGCCCTAGAAAATCTTTCCCAAACTCTGCGTCCGACGGAACGGATTCCAGCTGCCCGAGGTGAAGCTGCTGAGGCGGTTCTTGCCCAACTTTGAGCGCGGTTTGCCACCAATCTTGGAGGTCGTCCCGGTCGGGCTCGGTGCCCCCGAGGACACCCCCGACGAGCTACCGGACAGCGTTGAAATCGATCCCTTCGAGTGGGTTGAGGCCATTGGCTGTTTTAATCAAAAGTCAACTTTGGAACAAAAGGAAAATTGTGAACCGGACTTACCTTCAGATAGTTGCGATCCATCGGGGTGATGACCTTGAGGTCCAAACTGTTCGAACAGTTCTTGATCAGCTTCAGCACCTGCTGGTGGTTGTACCACTTGACGTCCACTCCGCACAGTTCCACTATGAAATCTCCCTCCTTGATGCCACCGAGCTGGAATCGAAAAAAGGGAAATACGTTGTTATCCCGTGAAATCGTTCATGAAAATCTTTTGAACGACAAAAGTCATCCAAGGAATATGAATATGGAGGACTTTCAGATTATATCCAGTGGACTTCTAGGGAAGGATTCAGTGTCTTACAAGAAACGTTCAGAGAACTTTCATATAATGTGTCCTGGGCTAAATCTAGACGACTTGCGACTTTCCATTGATTTACTGAGGTTCGTCTAAGGTAAATGACGGCTTCGGCAATGCCTTTACGCATGAGGATAAAAAATCGTTTGGCTAAACATGGGCGCTCAAGAACTTTGTTTACCCCCTGCCGATAAAAGGTAAATGTTAGGCTGAAGCCATTTACTACAAGTCTTTAAATATGCACTGCTGTGCTTCCCAACTGTCCAAATTTGTTTCGGGAGACCTCTAACATTCAACACTTTTTTTTTCTAGCTGTTCAACTTAAAAACCGCGTCCCAACACCATTGAGAGACTCATTCCAAGCGATACTCACATCAGCCAGCGAGTTAATCTCGACGCTTGAAATCATGACCGGCGCATCGCCCCGCACGTGGAAGCCAAAGCTCTCGAAATGGTCGACGCCACTGCTGCTGCAGTCGCTTCCCTCACTCGACGGCATTTGAGTCAACTTCCGGGACCGATAGTCCGCATCCGACACGTTGCACACGTCCTTGAAGCACACGTCGCACGCCCGAACGTCGTTGTAGTAGTTGGTCTTGTTGCACTGGCACTTGTTCCGGCCACCGTCGCTGCTTCCGTCCATACTACTGCCTCCGGTACTGCTGCTGGCGCTTCCGATGTTTGTACTGCTATTGTACCGACGTCGATCCAACGTCCCTCCGCCGGTCATCAGCATCGAGTTGCCCTTCTGCAGGCGAATGCAGCGCGGGGCAGTCCAGTGGCGTCTCGCCGAAAAGATTGCCATCGGTCCCAGCTTTCGGAATGGGTCCTCGATTTTGTACGCCGTAAAGTCCGGTCCCGTCAGGGAAATGGTAAACTTGGAGGTAGTGTTCAACGTCACATCGATCATGTCGATGTCCTCGTCCAGATAGCCCGCTCCGTCTAGTTCCAGGTCCAACATCTCCAGCTCTTCGGACGTCTTTTCCAGCCCATAGTTGAGCACCTTGGTGAGGGCGATCTTGTTCTTCAGCTCCCGGCACATTCGCTGTAACCGTTGGGCTTCCTCGTGACTAGAGAGGGACTCGCGCAGGTGAGCTTTCTTCAGCATTGCCGGATTGAGGTCCCCCTCGAGGGAGCTTTCATCGAAGATGAACGTGTCTAGCGATTGGGACAACGTTTGGCTGCCCAGATTGACCTTCTGCTTGGTGGCCGACTTTGAAGGGGTACTCGTTTTGAAGTTTCGCAGCGCCGGATCGATCGATTTGGCCGTGTGGTAGTGGGCAAGAGCTGCAAAGAATCACATTCAATCGTAACAAATTGGATGATAATCCAACGGAACTTACCTTTGTAGTGCTCGGACTTCAGTGGTACCAGTCCAGCCCAGGACTCCGGGAGGAACGTGTGCGCCTCGTTGCTCTGGATTATCCGGTGAATCTCCTGGTACTCCACCGTCAGTTGGGTTGCCTCGCCGGCAAGATTGCGTTGTAGCTGAAAATAGCATCGATTGATGTCATGGCTTCGAGAAGGATGTTCACACCGAACTTACCGAACTGCAATCGGAATTGGTCATTTCTTCTAGCTGTAGTAAAAGTTTCTCGTATAGGCACTCGCGTGCCTGCGCCAACATCAGTGCCACCAGCACTTCTAGGACCTGGAAGATACACGCAATTAGTAAAGATCCACTCCAACAAACTTCGCATCCGTACTTGAGGTTTTAAATCCATCGACGGCGCATTGGTGAAGGTGTCGTAGATGTGCTTGAACACACCGGCCGCCCTCAGGAAGTTATCCACGGCCGAGTCGAGCCCTTTCTCCGATGAGCGGTCCTGCCTGGCCCCGATTTGCGTGTAGATGGCGGCCAAGTTGAACAGGATGCAGGCCTTCTCGAATGCGACCGTTCGCTGGCATGAGGGGACCCCTAGTGGTTTAGAATTGAGGAATTTTTTTTCAAGCTGAAACGTTCAAATTGCACAATAAGGAATCTTACCGGTCAGCGAGTCGTACCACTCGAAGTAAACTCCTAGGCTTCGGTCGGGCGGAAAAAATCGTCTCTCGACGTAGTACAATAGGTTGTAGTAGCGGAACAATAGAGCCGCGCCCTGGAGGTCTCGGGTCGGAGTTTTGGCTGCCTGTGGAATGGTGGACGTTAGTAAAACTAAGTAAGGAGAGGAGACCTCTTCCAAGAACTCACCTGTCTCGTGTCGGTAATATCGGCGATGGCATCCTCGTACACGGACGAATCCTCACTGTAGTGCTCCAGGATGAAGTCCGAAAAGGGTTCCATGAAGCTGACCTCTTTGGTTTCCTTCAGCCCGAGCGGGATCATCGGTATCACGTAGTCCAAGCTGGAAGCAAAATAAAGAAAAACGATTTATTATGAAATCGATTGTCGATATCGGGTATGGCACGTGGAGCTTAAAGCAAACAAACGATAATGAGCTTCACTGCAAACAAATCTTTGAGCAGGCGTTTTCCCTTGGCTTCCATCATTTTGAACTACTGTTTGTTTCTACGGCCGAGAGGGCAAACAATCAACATTAATTTTATCAACTTAAGTGCAAATCGTAGCAGGGATCCCTCCTTGGAAGGTGAGGTTCGAGCTATCGCTGGTGGAAACTGCGGGTGGTGTACGATTACAAACCGCTTAGATGAGGATAATGGCATCCAACTGTACGCAGGTTACACATTTTTTGCGAAGCAAATTGTAAAGCCTATCGTGGAGCAGTAGGTACCTCGTTAGACGATTTAAGTGTGCTTTCACAATTGGAAGCGATAATAATTTCGGAAATTATGAACTCTTTAAAAATACGTATGGTAAGGTGGGGCAAAATGGGTCAGCAGCTAGTAAATTGGTTAATTTATTTGTAAAATCAACAGGTTCAATGCAACTTCAATTATGGTTTGCTTCAAACCAGCATAGGGACTACATTGGGCCTGTTAATTTTTACTATCAAAGTAGATGACCCATCTTGCCCCACCTTACCCTACCTAGTTCGAGGGGCGATGTCAAGTTTAGAAACAGAGTGGTCGAAGGCTTAGAATCTCGGACATTTTTCCAGATGCTGAACCAAGGGGTGCGACAGATTTACTCTGAGCTGCTTTTTTGCAGCGAGTAATTCAGTGTACCTCAAAATTTAATCGACGTTCATCGATTTTATCTCTCTGCTTACTCCGTTTACTCTCTTTGAAAAGATTTATCTCATATTAGACGTCAGTTTTGTTTGTGAACATAGTAAAATTGTTCAGATCTGCTATTCAAACAATGTGAATAACAGTACCACTTGGATCAAAAGGAATTTGTCCGGAAAACGGCTCGAACTATGCTAAGAAAGATGGGGCCCCGTCACCAGCTGCTGTAACGGTTTTGAAAGTGATTTTGTGCGTACTCTTCCGTCTCGAAAAGATGGATGTGAATTAACTGAAGGTTGGTGGAAACAGGTTACTTGTTCTAATAAAATAACCAGAGGAATCGTTTTCAGATGTCCACCGAGGAGAACATGATATCACCAGTATAGAAGCCGGAGTATACAGCGCAGCCGCCACTGCCGAAGCCGTCATCCGGACATCAATCCCATCATTGATCTACTGGAGGAAATCGAATCATGCATATGGTTCATCGCTATAGACTTTGCTGACGAGAAACCGAAGAAAGAAACACACTCCGGATATAATACATAATTAAACTAACGAAAAAGAAATGTTACATAGACTTCCGTCAACGGCCGCAGAAGAATCTTGGTGGTGTATCGCGCCATATCACGATTACCCAGAAGGCACATCAGTAGCACCAGAAGTGGGATGGTGCCCGCTGGCAGCAGAACATCGCCGTAGTAATCCAGAGCTCGGATCGCAATTTTATCTAGTGGCAGGTTGTCCAGCAATGGTAACGGGATCGCTTCGACTAGTATCAGATGACGGATTGGAAGTATTTGGTCCGGCGGATTGAGTTTTTCTATCACCTCACGCCGGATGTTTCATTTTGTTGTTGTTATGTTTGACAGCAGCTTTTCGGCTTTGCACCTCCAAATGTTGCTTTGATGCGAAAAGTTAGAAAGCAAATGACAGTTATCTTGCTCACCGAGCAATGTGAGTTACTCGAGGTGCCTCAAAAGCAACTCTGAAATTGCTCATGATTAAGAGCTGTCTTGCCCCTTGTGCTGAACCTTAAATTTGTTTCAAGTATCCGTTTTTTTGTACTCATTCGGAAGTTGTAGTTATGAAACTAAAAAAAATCGATCGGCAAAGGTACAATTGATCGACTCCTCGGTAACAAGGGGCTCTAATAGTTTTAATTTTTTGCGTATTCTTCATGCATTAAAATAATTATAACTCTGAAAATTCTCAAGAAAACCCAAGCGGTAAGTCACTCAGTAAGAAAAAATCGGCACAGCTTGGGCACATCCATCGGCAAAATCTCGTAGGCATTGGATTGTTCATTAAATAAAATGGGAGCACTGCTGGACAGCTGACATTGAAGTTGTTCACAACATTACGTGCTGTTTGACTGTGTATTTCTCGGTTCACATTTAAATTCAAAATGTAGGCTTCCGAGGGCTGTCGATTGCTATCGATGCCGGTCACAAGTCTTTCAGCTACTACGCAACTGGAGTGTACTACGAACCGGAATGTAAGAACAATTTGGATGGATTGGATCATGCAGTGGTGGCGGTTGGATACGGAAGATTACTGGCTAATCAAGAACTACTGAGGCAACGATGGATATGCTTTGATGTCGGTGAAGGTTTTCGATTTTCGTAACATAAAATAAAAAAAAAATTGTAAGTTATTATTCAAGTGAGTTTTGTTTGGTAGATGACCAATTGACCGAGTGCTGGTAATTTGCTGCTGAAAAGTAGGACCCTTACAAGGCCGAATTACTTTTCACGGCACAATCACAAGGAATTTTGATTGCTACCACTCAACCTAATTAACTTACAACTTACTCCCGGAACTCCAACCGGATGGCAAAACCGAACTTATTAGCTTGGATCCTCCTTCATGGCATAATCCATTCTGATGTTGAAAACCTCCGAGAGCTTCTCGTCCGGAATAATCACCTTCCGCAGTTCCTCTTCCAGATTGAGCAGAAAGGTGTAGTGCTTCTGAATCGTATCCGTAGGATTGACCAGCAACGTTCGGACGACATTGGAGCAGTAGGACTTGTAACGCGCACCCAGAGCACAGATGATCGATCCGAAGTGCAGATAGTTCTTGTCGCTGAATTCACTGAACTTCAAGTTGTAATTGCCACCCGATTGGATATCAGTTTTCTTATCAGCATCGATTATCTCCATGATGTGATCCTTGAGGTACTTGTTGAATGCGTCTACCGTCACCAGGCAGGCCTACTTGATGGTGATAACTGCGGAGTTCTCCTTGGAGCACATGATGTACCCAATTGGGACGCTGAGATGTCCACCGTGTCGAAGCTCGTGTCCTTGAAGAATACTCGCCACGATTCACAGAATTCATCCGAGAAGTTGTCCTTGGAGAAGTCGCCCAACGTTTTGCCATCTTTGGATCTCTTGATCGCCTCCAGCAGCTTTTCAAAATTGGCCTTGTCTTTGTCGTTTTTATCCCGAACCAACAGCTTCACCGACGGAATGCCCTCCTCACCGTCCTTCTCGATCTGCTTCAAGAAGTCGATCTTCTTGCTCGTATCCGCTCGTATGCCAGCAGCCAGGTCTGCAGCGAGATTGCGAGATGCAGTGGATTTGCTGTAGATGGTTTCCTCGTCTACGCCGACCGTCGTCAGAATGCAATCCACCTTCTGCATCATGGGAAAGCTCTGGTAGAAGGAATCCTTCTTCTTCTTCATTCCTTTATTTAACGTCGGTCTCTGTTCCGCAATCTAGAGCCAATCACCGACGGACATCGATTGCCATCCATTGACGGCAATCGAATGTTCAGTACAGGAAGGCAGCTTCCACACCCATTCAAACACACACGGGCCGGGACCAACGGCTTTACGTGACCAGAGATTGTTATGCCACAGAAAAATCCCACCAGACCCATTGGGGTGAGAAAGCAGTCACGCTTACCACTACACCATCGACGCCGGCAGAAGGAATCCTTATCGAGCACGATATTCGACATTTTCGGGGCCGTTGCGAATGCAAACCAAAACATTCAAGCTGTCAGAAATACCGGGTTGCCAAATACACCATAATTCTTCGATGCAATCGGTGTAAATATTTACATTACTTGACAAATCTCAGGTAATCATGACAGCAGTAGGTCTCTTTTCTTCATTCAAATTGTTTTCAATAATCAAACGTCATGATTACCTGGGTTTTGTCAAATAAGGTAAATATTTAAATTGCTTGTACCAAAGAATATTCGTATTTTACAAAAAAATCACAGCTTGCTCTACACTGTAAGATAAGACCTGCCATATATCGAATGATTCGTCATACGGTGTGTTAACAAGTGCCAATTTCTTATTTTCGAATGAAACCAGCAACAAGTGAAAAGGATGCCTAGCATAAAGTGAAAATCATTTTCAAAGTAGATGATAATGGACATTAAACTTGTATGAATTAAAGATTGTTTTCGGAATGTACCAAACCAAACGAACATAATCTCAAAGCTGAGAGGTAAATGTATCATCGAAGGCCCAAAACGAAAATCATTCATTTTCCTAATGAACTGTTGGTGTATGAAAAATGTGATTGAAAATGCAAAAAGTCGACAGCGAACAGTGAAGAGACATGTTGAAAAGCACGTAACTTTAATTTTTCAATTTGAATTTTGAGTTTATGTAGGCTGTTATCTTCAACGATGGGTAAGTTTAAGATTAGTTCATACTTCGGTTTATATTAAATAATTAATATGGTTTCAATTTAAGATGATTAAACCACAGTGCAGTGCAGAAGATTGTTCGCCACATCATTGTGCACAGAGAGAAGTTTTCTGAACCGCTTTCGTAAAGACGCCAAATACTGGAGGCCGAGGAACGTTCTAAGCAGGAGATGCAGGAACGGTAGCAACGAAATTTGCTCTACAACGATTGGACGCGGGAAGGTGTCATGGACAGTTTCCTAGAGACACTGCAGACGGGATCGGTGTTCGATAATCAGGATCAACGGTAACGACGGGGATCACGACCTGCGAGAGCGGAGCGGAGGGCACAACTGATTCAAAGCCGATCGCGAACAGGAATCACATACAATGCATACTTCAGTAGGGAGATGCTCTCGGAGCTGTTGGGACCTTCATAGGAACTACTTAGCTTGAGGTACATAGGGGTACGGACTGCAAGATCGACTTTACTTATAATTATATAAAAAGCATTGTAATACTTAAATATTACCTATTTTCAACAGACAATATTGCTACAACAAGC